AACTCACAGAAGCTTATAATGAACTAACTCATGAAGCAGAACGAAAAACAATCCAAATTGAAAATATTACAACACTTTTAAAAAATAAATGTGATTTATTATCTGAATATAAAGCTAAACTTGAAAATATGATACCAGATTATGAAATGCTACAAAAGCAAAGTAAAGAAAGAAAAGAAAGTATAGAACGATACAAAGAAGAAATAGAAAAATTGGAAATGGAAAAAAGAAAAAAAATTGAAATAATTGAAGATAAATTAAATTCGGAAGAAATAAAAAATGTTGGATTAAATAAGCAATTAAATGAATTGAATAGCAAAAATATTAATTTAATAGATGAATTAGATAATTTGAAAGAAAAGTATGAAGAATTACAACAAGTAAATGCAAAATTAGAAAAAAAAATTAGAAATAGTACAAGTAAAATAAAAGCTGAAGCAGAGATGGAAGAATTAAAGGATATGAATAAAAGATTACAAAATAATTTGGAAGGAGCAAGTAATCGTATAATTGAATTACAAAAAAGTAAAAACAAAACTTTTAAAGAATTAGTTAATTTAAAAAATCAATATGAATTGCTGTCTCAAGAAAATGTAGAAATAAAAAAAACTTTATCATTATGTAAATTCAAACAAACTACTTTATATTTATCTCAAGAAGATGGTAAATATGATGTACTTCTTCAAGAAAAAAATAAAATTGCATTAGAACTAGAAGATAAAAAATTATTATTAATACAAAAAGAGAAAGAAATTAATGAATATATGAATCAAATAAAAAACTTTGTTATTAAAAAGAAACAATTTGATAATCAGTTAATAGAATATAGTACTACTTTATGTGAATGCAATATAGAAATATCAAATTTGAAAGATGAAGTATGTATCCAGCAAACTAAAACTAAATTAGTTAATGAATTAGAGAAAAAATTAAAAATTTTAGAAGAAGAAAATAAAAATCTCACATGTCAACTTGAGACATTTAAAATAAAAATAGAAACTAATATGAAACAGATAGAAGATACAAAATTACACAATGAAAAAACTCTTTATACTTTGAAAAAAAATTTGGAATTACAAATGAAATGTAATGATTATCAAAATGAACTGGAAATAAAAACCAACAGTAATAATAGTTCAAGATCTACTAGCCCTGCTTTTGAAAATAATAGAAGAAGACGTAGCAGAAATGAGATATTTAATCAAAGAAGACAATTAGAAAATGTAATGATTGATATTGATTCTACTGAAAATGAAGAAATATGTCAAATATTAAGAAAAAAAATTCAAGAATTAGAATTACAATTAGTATCAAAAAATGGACAAATTGCAGCATTAGAAATTCAAATTCAGAGTGAAAATTTTCCTTATCAACAAAAATGCAAAGAATTAGAAGAACTTTTACTTATGTTTCGCAAAAAGGTATGTATAATATCATTTTTCCTAGAAAATACAAATCCTAGAAAATACAATTGATCAAATTAATTAAAATTAATAATAAAATATTTTTATAGAATACTGAACTTAATTCTGAAGTAAGAAAACTTCAAAGGACTTTGTATGATATTAATACATGGGAATGTGACATATGTAGACGATGGCGTATTAATAAAAGAGATCAAGCATGTCAAACAATATTTAATAATGCGCCGCAACTTTTTACTATGAATAACGAAATAATTGAGGTAAGTAAAAATATAAAATAATAATATAGTAATTTTACATAAAAATTATTTTACATTCTTGCAGAATCATATAAAAATAAGAAAATTAGAAAAAGAAAAAGAATTAATAAAAGATATATGCCGTGCACGATGTCGACAAATAAAAAATTTAGAAGATAAAGTAAGAGAATTGGAAGGAGCATAGGCTTTTATATAAAAACAATTTTATATATAATAACATCTTTGCAGAATCATATAAAAATAAGAAAATTAGAAAAAGAAAAATATTAATGTAAATTAATAAAAGGTGTATGCTATGCACAATTCCAACAAATAAAAAATTTAGAAAATAAAATAAGAGAATTGAAAGAAGCATAGGCTGCATCATATTCAATATATATTGAATTTTTGAAAGAAGAATCTAATTGATATATTTCTGTTATATAATTCAACAAATAATTTGATTTGAGAAAAAACATGAAACATTTCTTCAAATATGATTTGTTTAAAACTGAACTATCAAGATTTAGTTTTTTTTTTGATAGTGCTTAAACAAATATAATTTCTACAATTTATTTATTTTTATATGTAATGAAGTGATGTTTGAAAAATGATAAAAAAGTAATGAATATCTATTTTTTTAAAGTTAAAATTAAAATATTATTTAACTTAGAATATTTATTTAAACATGAAAAAAATAATTTCATATTTTAAGATGAAATATTTATATATTATTCATAAAATATTTCTATATATTGTTTTATATGTTAAAATTTAACTTTATTTTCAGATGTATATTGTTTATTTATACGTTTAATTTTCATAGCTTATTTTTCTTTTCCTTTATTTTTTAAAAAATTAGAAATCTTTAAAGTTGAAATGACATATATATTTAATGTTTTCTACAGAATGAAATGAGAGAAAATGTTCCAGCTAATATTATGAAAGTTTACAAGATTATCAAATTCTAAAAAAAACATATGCATACATAGTTAAAAAAAGTCTTCCAGAAATTACAATCTACAATATTATTAAATATTAGAAGACTACTATACATAATACTATCGAAGTATTATGTTCATTCCTTTTTACTGAAATAGTGTAAATATTAACAGTATCAATATATTTATATTTCTCAGGTATTATATTTTTGTATTTTCATAAATATGATGTAAATAAGAGCAAAATTAATTTTTATGTATATTATGACGATATAAAAATAGTTATATATATATATATTATATTTCTCTACCAACATTATAATAAAATACAATCTGTGATTCCGTAAAATGATTATTATATAAATATTAATATATGTATAAAACATATTGTTAATTAATTATATTCTATATTTATATTTAAATTATATAATATTTATTATAACAAAACAATTCCATTAGAGTTACCATTATATAATAAAATTAAATAATGAAATCATTAAAAATTACTAAAGTTCTGTAAATTGCTTAATTACAATATAAATAAAAAATATTAAATATTAAAAATTTTTATTTGAAATAACAAAAATGAAAAGATAAAAAAAAACATTTTTTTCTAGTAATTTAATTACATTCTTTATATTGCCTATCCTGACGTTTCGACAGCTTTGATATATTATAAATAAAGGTTAATGTAGTACTATCCAGTAGTAAACTATTCAGTTAAGATTCTATACTGTTTATAATCATAACTATTCGTATATGTTAAACATAAATAAGTAAAATAATATAAACAAAAATCGAAAATGGATTTTCAAAATCGTCCAGGAGGTAAAACTGGCGGTGGAGGTGTTGCATCTTGGTCAGAAAGTAACCGAGATAGAAGAGAACGTTTACGACAACTTGCATTGGAAACTATTGATCTTAACAAAGATCCATATTTTATGAAAAATCATTTAGGATCATATGAATGTAAATTGTGTTTAACTCTTCACAATAATGAAGGCAGTTATTTAGCTCATACACAAGGTAAAAAGCATCAAGCAAATTTAGCTAGAAGAGCTGCTAAAGAAGCAAAGGAAGCACCTCAAACACTTGCACCCGAAAAACCTCGCGTAGAACCAAAAAAATTTGTAAAAATTGGAAGACCTGGTTACAGAGTAACTAAACAACGAGATCCAGAATCAGGACAGCAAAGTTTATTGTTTCAAGTTGATTATCCAGAAGTTGCAGATAATGTTATTCCAAGACATAGATTTATGTCAGCATATGAACAAAGAGTTGAACCACCAGATCGTAAGTGGCAATACTTATTATTTGCTGCGGAGCCTTATGAAACTATAGCTTTCAAAGTAAGTTTATTTTATAATATAAATATAAACTAATAGAAAATTATTCATTGTTTTATGTTTTATATTATTATAAAAATATAATAATATTTATTAGGTTCCTAGTAGAGAAGTTGAAAAGGCAGAAGGCAAGTTTTGGACACATTGGAACAAAGATACAAAACAATTTTTTTTACAATTTGCATTTAAAAATGAAAAACCTTCAGTTGGCAAAGTACCACCTCCTCCAGTTCCTTTAATAAGGCCTGGATTAGGACCACCTATGGTACCAGTTCCACCACCACCAAGACCACCTATGTTTAATCCAGTGCCACCACCACCAGCTCTCTTAGCAACAGGCATGCAAATACCTCCACCACCTCCTCATATAGCATAATCTTTTGGTTAATGATAAAATAAAATAAAAAAATAACAATGAATATTAAATTTCTTTTTTAAATAAATAATTTTTTGTATATAAAAAAACTAAAAATATTTCTTACAGTTCTTCATTGTATCTAATTCATTATCTTTTTGCTAATTTATTAGCTCGATATAGATTAGTAATTTTTTCATTTAATTACAAAAAATGAGAAATATTACATACACATTTGCTTACAATTCCTTTCTATATAATTATATATATATCTAAAAAAAATATATTTTCATAAATGTAATTAATAGGGAGATGTTGGAATCGTTAAGTTAATCGTATAATTCGGTATTTTTGTTGGTATTTAAATATATTTAAATAATTCAGAGAAAAATTGAATTTGACAAAATTTAAAAGTAAATAAATTATTAAAGCTGAAATTGTAAAACTAATATCTCATTGATTAAAAGTTGAATATTGTTTCTATAATTAACAAGATTTAATCCTAAATAATAGCCATTTGTGAAAGCAATTTTAAGAAATTCAATAAAATTTATTTTCTTGTATCAAATCATTACTATTTATCACTATTACTACTACTATTAATCAAACTGTAAATATCTATTTAAATTTTAAATATAAGAATTTTTGTGAAAATTATATTTAATATAAAAAAAAAAATTAAAAAATATATATGATTTTTCTTTTTTCGTTATTAAATTTTATTAAGAATATAAATTTATTGGAATACACAGTGACCACACCAATCAAGATAATCAAGACTTCAGCTCCTAAAAATAAAAAAATCTTCATTAATTTAAAAAAAAAACTTTAATATAATTAAATTAGATTAGTTTCATTATCAGTTAAAAAGAACAATCAACATAGTGTTAAGTGTTGTACGCACTTTTTCGACCGCCCGTTCATATTATCATCATTAAACATTTTAATTATAATTCATAAAATTATAGAAATATATAAATAGATATTAAACATTATAAAAGTTTCATTATGATATAATTTACTTGCATATTTAAGCAGAAAGAACACAAACTCCACCAACAGCTTTAATTTTATCTTCTGCAAGTTTACTGAAAAATTTGGCTTTAACAATAACTGGTTGCTTAGGAAGTCGACCTTTTCCTAAAAGTTTGTAATATCCCTACAAAATTAAATTTATGATAAAAATGTAAATGCAATATAGTAAATAATTTCAGGACATATAATTTTTATTTTATAAATATATATTTATATATATATGAAATAAATAATGAAATAATTATTATTTTAAACTTACCGCTTTAACAAGATCAATTACTGGAACTTTATTTTCTGAATCTTTATATTTAAGCCTAGTTTGTTCAGAAACTAATGTCCATAATTTATCCAAATTTAAAGTAGGACACCATTTTGTATTACGTCTCAAGTGATAATTCCTCATACCAAGCTATAAAGATAAATTAAAAATTTACTAATAATCATTTTTAATTAGAAACAGATTTGATATTGATGCAACATATCAGAATATTAAGTGTAATCAAAGTATTTCAGTTCGCCAGTGAAAAATAAAGTTCAATATCATCACTTAATATTTGAAATAATTTAATTATAATAAAAATACAAAATAAAAATATTTACCTTTCCAAAATAACCAGGATGATATTTGTCAAAGTTGATACGATGATGATGTAAACCACCGGCATTACCCCGTCCACCGGGATGTTTTCTATGTTTACCTTGAATATAATAAAATATTGTTTTATTATTTAATTTTGTTATATAATGTTATATAATTTTTAATTTATTTTTATTAAAATAAATTTTTAATTTTATAGTGAATATTATAACATCATACCTATACGTCCATGACCATGGCTTACATGACCACGAAGCTTCCTGGTCTTTTTTTTATGTGTAGACTATAAATAAAAAAAAAAAAATCAAAAATTATAAAATTATTTCCTAAAAGATCCTAAAAGATTTTAATTTATTTTGTTATAAAAATTATATCCAAATATTAAGATGACACATATATCAGAATATTTATAATTATTTAATGAATTATTTAAAAAAAAAAATATCAAAATCATGCTATAGAATTATTGATTCAATCCCAAAAGATTTTAATCTGTTTTATCATAAAGGTTATGTTTGAATAACATGAATCTATCATATTAATAATATTTACAATTACTACATAATAAATTATTTAAAAAAAATAATAATCATAAAACTATATTTAATAAATTTTTAATAAAACTATAATTTTTAATATTTTATTTATATAAAGATGTTTTCAAGTATTTCAGATTATATTTATAACTAACTTACCATTTTAGTCACAATGTGAAGAACGAAACCGTTCGTTTTTTATCGAAATTATTAGATATTGCATAGATGGCGTGTGTGTAACTAGCATTTAAGCATAAAATAACTATTAAAAAAAATAGCAAAAACATTATTATTAATATAACTTATATATAAGACATAAAGTTTAATTTTTATTAAATTAAATTGTTAATTATAAATACGATAAATAATTTATTTTAAAACGTAAATAATAGATAAATGTAAAAAATAATAAAACAATGTGATTGGCTATTGAAAATCTCATGTAAACTACGTTTTATTTTATTTTTCATATTATTTTATATTTACATTAATAATATATTTTCAAAAATTATATATTTTAATAAATAAAAATTGAAAAATATAATACAAAATGAATATTTACTTATTAATAATTATTTTCGTAAATTATTAGTTATATGTATGAAATTGACTTTAATCTTTGTGTAATGTGCATCTTACAAGAAAGTAATAATATATGGTTTAGTTGTGCACATATTAGTTGTGCAGACCGGATTAAAAGATATATAAGGGTTTGTAGATTTCCTAAGATTTATTTGTTGTAATTATCTCGAAATTACATATATTTAAAAGTGAAATTTGAACTATTCCAAAAAAATTTTATTATTGAAACGATAAAAAAACTATTAAAAAACTGAACGTACATAAAGAAAATCTTAAAAGTAGATCAAGATGCAGGAATCTCAACCGAAGAAAGGCAAAAAAGGTAAAAAAATAACTATAAAATTTATAAATATGTATCATTAAATAATAATATTTTAAATATATATATAAGCTTATTTTTTAATTAAACTTTAAACATTTTTTTCTTATGATAAATGTCGTCTGCTTTCACTTAACCTCTATTTAACTGTTTTTGAGTTACATACGGAAAGGATAATAATATATTTTTAATTTTTTTATAATATTTATAATTTGATAAATTAAAGTTTATCTTGTTTGGCTTTTTCTATACTCATAGAAACTTCTAAATTTTTATGAAGTGATTTATGAAAATGATTATAATTTTAAAGCATTATGATACATATTTCATAATTTAAAATTGATATTAAATTTTACGATATTTTGTTCTTGTGTAGAATATAAATTCATTATAAATGATATGATTATATTATGTTATAAAAACGTTTAGAAAATGTAATAATTAATAACCATGTAAAGTGAAAGTTGTTTAATTAGATAGTGAAAGCTACAAGTGTCTATCACAAAATGTCATATACTTTTATCAATATTATTGTTATACATTTTTTATTTTTTCATTACAATATTTAAATTATATAATAAAAGTTTATTTTTATTTATTTTATTTATATTATTTTATTTATTTTTTTAATATTTTTAATTTAATTATTTAATTTAATTTTATTTAATTATATTATATATCATTATGTATCATATAAAAAAATATATATATATATATATATATATATATATCATGTAATAATTTAATCAATTTATTAATTTTTATAATATATTTATATATTTATATTGAATTATTTTATAAAGAATAATAAAAATTACTTTTATACAAGAAGGAATTATATTATATTAAGTTATAATTTGTAATTGTAATAAAATTAAAATATATTTCTATATTTTATATTCTAAATAGCCAGAAGAAAGCGTAATGATAGTGATGAAGATATCGAAAAAGTTTTGGCTGAATTGGAATTGGAATATTCTGGCAATAAAAAAGAAATCAAAGATGAACCAATTGAACAAAAACCTGAAGATGAGGATAAAAAAAAGAAAGGAAAAAAAGATAAGAAAAAAGAGAAAAGTGAAATTATTGATATTAAAGAAGAGTTGAAAACTGGTATACTTCTTGAAGAAAATGATATTGATGATGAGATGGAAGTTGGTACTGTAAAAACTGCAGCACAAAAGAAGAAAGAAAAGAAAGAAAGAGAGAAACAAAAAAAACTTGCTCAAAAGAAAGCAGTATGTGATTTATATAATTATTATTGTGTTTATTGTACATTTATATTAAATATTATATTATTTTATTATATTGTTATATTTAAATTATATTTTCTTGATAGGAAATGAATAAGAAGGGAGAAAATAAAGAAGAAAAACCTGCAGAAAAAGAAATGAAGAAAGAATTAGACATAAAGGTACCAGAAACAAAAACAGCAGAATTGAAGGATATTAATGAAGTAGATGTTTCTGTACCTAGTGAAAATGATGAGAGCAAAAAGAAAAAAAAGAAAGGTGGAAAAGAAGAAACAAAAGAAAAAGGTAACAAATAATTTCATAGTCCTTTTTAAAGTAGCAAATTAATACAAATTATATTTGTTAGGATATAACATTAATTTGTGTCTACATTTAGTATAATTAGATATGTGCAATAGGCAAAGGTCCTGGAAAGAAGACTATAGCTGCAATGCAAGAAGCTTTAAAGAAATTAAAAGAAGAAGAAGAAAGATTGAAACGAGAAGAGGAAGAAAGATTACGACAAGAAGAATTGCGGGAACAAGCTCGATTAGAGCAATTGAGACTTGAACAGGAAAAGAAAGAAAGAAAAAAGCTTAAAGAAAAGCAAAGAAAAGAAAGATTAAAGGCAGAAGGGAAACTTTTAACAACAAAACAAAAGCAAGATAGAGCTAGAGCACAAGCTATGATCAATGCACTTAAAGCTCAAGGCCTAGTAGATTTACCAGGTGCAGGAGAAAAGAAAACTAGACCAGGTAATTATAATACTCTTTTGTAAAAAATAATATAACAAGAAATTTAAATATATGTACATCTTTTCAGGAACTCGTATAAGACCAAACAAAATAAAACAGCAAGTGAGCGTTGATGAAAAAGATGATGAAAAAATAGAAGAAAGTGTACCAGAGGCAGATACAGTTGAAGTAGAAATAATAGATCAACAATCAAAAGAATCTGAAGAAAAGGAAGATGATGTTAAAGATTCATGGGATGCTGAAACTAGTGAAGATGAACAGGATGAAGGTATTAATATATAATTATAAATATATTTCCAAATGTATAATGAAATGTATTTTTAATGAAAGATAATTTTATAGACAAATTAGATGATGTGTCAAAAACTCCTGAAAAAATTCAACAAACAATTCTTTCATTTGAAAAAGAAAAGCAATCTCAAATTGAAGAAACCAGAAAAGAATCTTCAGAAAGCGAATCAGAAAGTGAGAGTGGAAGTGAATCAGAGACTGAGGAAAGTGAAGATGATAGTGGATTAGAGGATAAAGTATCAGATGCAGCAAGGAAAAAAGAGCGAGTTAGGGAACGAATACAAGTTCGAAGAATAGAAGCAGAAAAAAAAAGATCGTTAGATAATCTTAGAGCTGCCGTAGTATGTGTTCTAGGTCATGTAGATACTGGAAAAACAAAAATCCTTGATAAATTAAGAAGAACGAATGTACAAGATGGTGAAGCAGGTGGTATAACTCAGCAAATTGGCGCCACAAATGTACCTATCGATGCTATTCGAGAATCAACGAAACACGTGAAAGGAGTACGTTATTTTTTAAAATTGTTTTATATATTATATACAGGATAAAAGATAAAAAATAATAAATGAAAGATTAATAAAAAGTAATAATTTTTGTTTAGTTTGACGAAAAGAAATTCAGAATACCTGGACTTTTGATAATAGATACTCCAGGACACGAATCTTTTAGTAATTTAAGAAATCGAGGATCTTCTTTGTGTGATATAGCGATATTAGTCGTTGATATTATGCATGGTTTAGAGCCACAAACCATCGAAAGTATTAATTTACTGAAGACGAAGAAATGTCCTTTTATTGTAGCTTTAAACAAGATTGATAGGTATAATATATAAAATCAATTCTATAAAAATATATAAATTAAATGCTATAAATATAAAGATAATTTTTATAATAAAATATATAATAATAATAAAAAATATATATTTTATAATAAATTTTATAAGATAAATATAATTTTTATAGATTATATGATTGGCAAACTATGAATCGAAAAGATATTCAAGATATTGTAAAAAGCCAAGCTATTAATACACAGCGTGAATTTGAAAAACGTTCCAAGGATGTTATTGTACAATTTGCGGAACAAGGTTTGAATGCTGCATTGTTTTATGAAAATCCGGATCCTAGAAGTTATGTTTCTCTTGTACCAACTAGTGCTATTACGGGTAAATCAATATATTAATTTTTTTAATAATATATAATATGAAAAATTTTAATTTGCAACAATAAAATATTATTTAATATTTTTTATATAGGTGAAGGTATGGGTAATTTGCTATCATTAATAGTTGATGCCTGTCAAGGTCCATTAGCTAAAAGACTTATGTATAGTGAAGAGCTTCAAGCAACGGTTTTAGAAGTGAAAGCATTACCAGGTCTTGGAACTACAATAGACTGTATTCTAGTCAATGGAATGTTGAAAGAAGGCGAAACAATGATAGTAGCGGGTACTGATGGTCCTATAGTAACTCAAATTCGTTCGTTACTTATGCCACAACCGCTTAAAGAATTGAGAGTCAAAGTAAATATTCGAAATTTTTTTCTGCAATGAATAATGTTGATTGAATTTGTTTTTTGTATTATTTTTAGTATAAAAATAATTGTATGATATTAATTTTTTATTTTTATTTTATTTATTTATTTATTTATTTTTTTTTTTTTTTTGATAAATTATAGAATGCGTATATTGAACATCGTGAAGTGAAAGCTGCACAAGGAGTAAAAATTGCTGCAAAAGATTTAGAGAAAGCTATTGCAGGTAAATAGTTTATTATATTGATACATGCAAGTATTACTATATTTGTCATATGAAGAAATAAAACATGATTTGATATTTTATAAATAGGATTAAATCTCCAAGTGGCTGAAAAATCAGATGAAGTGGAAGTCTTAAAAGAAGAAATTGCAAAAGAGTTGTCTAGTGCTCTCGGTAATATTCGGCTTGCAGAACGTGGTGTTTACGTGCAAGCATCAACGTTGGGTGCTCTTGAAGCATTAT